CGGCGGCCCGCGGGAGCGGCCGGGAAGGAAGGGCGGGCGGCGGCGGCCTGGGTCGGGCCGGCGGAGATGGGGCTCGGCGAGGCGTGGCCCTGGGCCGGCAGGGGCTGCGAGCTGGAGGGAGCATTGCGCTTCGGGGAGGGAACGGCGCGCCCGGGTCCGCGGGCGGCGAGAGATGCCCTGTCTGACGCCCGAGGCCGGGCTCTGCCGCGTCGCCCACCCTCGCATAACCCCCCGGGCGGCTGTGGGCTCGGGGGCCGCTCGGCGTCTGTTTCGGGAGGAGAAAGTGGCAGGGCCGAAATGTGAAATGGTCATTTGGGGTGTGCTTGTTCCTGGTGGGGGCTCTCCCCCCAGGAAGGAAGAGGCTGGGAGAAGGAAGGTGTGTTTTCTTAGAGTTGCTCGCTCGTATCACTCGGCGGCCAGCTGTAGGGGAGCCTGGTCCCCGTTCCGCCGCCTCGGTTCAGTTGCCTGGGCTCTGGCTGTGTGGAGACTACATACCTGTAATTTCCCTTTAGCTCCGAGCAGTTTTTAGATTGACTCGACACCCCCCCCCCCACCCCCGTGATTTGTGGATTACGGGAAGGTTAGAAGGTGTGGCCTTAGCAGGAGTTACTAGGTTTAGAGAGCTTATTTCTTTAATGCAAATGTTCGCGAATCACCCAGACCTCCATAAGTATTACAATTTCAGCTTTTCTTTGAGAAAGGGACGTTTTAAAAGAGTCGATCTTTTGTTTAAAAAAGCAAAAAAGGAGGGAAAAAAAACAACCTTGACGTTGTCTCCAGAATAGTGTCAGGAAGGAACTGATATTTACAAAGGAATTTGTTTATTTCGTGTGTGCTTTTCTAAGCATCAGAAGATAATTTGGAAATTGTTCTGCGTTGAAATGATAACCATGGTAGAATTTGTGGTGTATTTAGGGGAAAGCCTGCCTGATGCTGAGATTTACTGTGGCTAATACCTAGGTAAGTAATTCAGAGATGGTTGCAGTCTGAAATTGCTCTTTTAAATATTGTGTAGTTAATCCTTAGCATTGTCTAATGTGGTTTCCGTTGGCCAAATTAAGCTTAATTTTTAAATTCCTAGGTGTTTTAAGTGAAGTAAGGGGGAATTTACTATTCAGAAGGGTTCTCTAAGAATTAATTATTTTTAAAGCAAATGAACCATATGCAAAATTAACTTTTGCTAACTCTGGGGTTTTTTTTAAGTAAAAAAACTCTCTTAAAGGGAGCAGTACTAATGTAGTGAAGGACAGTTTTTACATTTCACCTAATGTTTTATGTTATGCCTGCTAGTAAGAAGTTTAAAAGGTTATTCAAGGCAGCCATTGATTGCTTGCAAAGTTAGGATTGGAAAGGTGGCTCTGATTGTTACCTTAAACAGGGGCTTCTCATTCCTGTAATTAGGTTCTAGACTTTATAAATAGAAGACACGTCATTCAGCAGGTGTTTAGGAATGTGTGGAGCAAGAACTTCTGTCTATTCGTTTATTTTCACTGAGGTGCCCTGCACTTAAAGGATGAGCTGTAGTGTCAGTTTCCTCATTGACCCTAAAGGAGTGCAGTCTAGAGGGGAAAGCATACCTGTGAAGAATTCAACAATGATTTATTTATGAGCCTCAAGACGTCTATGTACTGAGGATATAGCTTTGCAAAGGATGGTCACAATCTATGCCCTCTAGTGGCATACAAGCAGTTTTAATATAAGTGTGTTAATGAAGATATCAGAGGCAGTGTATCACAGTAGTTAATAGACAACACTCTGAAGCCGGATTGTTTTGTTCCAGTTTGGGTATCGTCACTCCTACAACTCACTTAAGCTCTGTATGCTTAAGTTTTGTCATTTGCAGATAGGTATAGTAAGTATTGCCTATTTAGAGGTCTTTAGAGCCTTATATAAATGAATGCACATAAAGCACTTAAAACTACTTGGTAAATAGGGCGCCTGGGTGGCTCAATCGTTGAGCGTCTGCCTTCGGCTCAGGTCATGATCCCAGAGTCCTGGGATCGAGTCCCACATCAGGCTCCCTGCTCTGCGGGAAGCCTGCTTCTCCCTGTCCCGCTCCCCCTGCTTGTGTTCCTGCTCTCGCTATATCTCTCTCTGTCAAAAAAATAAATAAAATCTAAAACAAAAAATTAAAAAAAAAAAACTACTTGGTAAATAGTGACTATTATGTGGTGGTGGTTATGAGTGAAGACGAAGGGAAGCTTAAAAGAAAGAGCAGAGAAGGAAATACTGATGTTGAACATTACACTACAGAATTAATACAATTATAGATGCTGCTATTGCTTGCAATTAACTTATTTTTTTTTTAAGATTTTATTTATTTGAGAGAGAGAGAATGAGAGACAGAGAGCATGAGAGGGAGGAGGGTCAGAGGGAGAAGCAGACTCCCTGCCGAGCAGGGAGCCTGATGCGGGGCTCGATCCCGGGACTCGATCCCGGGACTCGATCCCGGGACTCGATCCCGGGACTCCAGGAATCTTGACCTGAGCCGAAGGCAGTCGCTTAACCAACTGAGCCACCCAGGCGCCCCTGCAATTAACTTATTAAAGGTTCTGTTAGTTCCCAGTGCGTTTTAGTTTAGGATAAAACATTAGATATCTGAAGGCATAAATAGTTTATTTGCATATCCATAAGTTGGTTGAAGACTTTGTTAGAATAATTACTACTTTTTTTTTTCAGTTGCTAAGGTTTTTACAGGTGATACCTTTACCCGGAATATTTAGGAACAAAGGATCTTTGAACGTGTGGCCAGTTGAAGGACCAGTTGCTGTCTACTGTGAAGGGAGAAAGAATGAGGGTCAAATTTGGCTATGATGCCTAGGTCAAGGGTAAGAGAAATGGAGAGAAAACGAGAAAGCTTGTCACATCCTGGAGAAGCTGAAGAATGTAGAGAAGGTAGAGGCCCAGAGATGTTCGAGAGAATAGAGCTTGGGCTACCGTTACAACTGGAACGTATCGTATGAGCCTGATTTTCTGTCTCAAGCAATCCTGGTATGGAGGTCTGCTTCTGAAGTAGTTGTGTAGCAGGTCCTGCTGCTCAGCCAAGCTAGGTCTAAGTCGGCCCTTGTGATGCGGAGAAATCACTTTCTGGCCAAACTCTAGAATCTTGGTTGTCTTTCCTAAATGCAGAACCTAGACTACGAAGAGAGTAAATATAATAGTACAGGTGACCTGCAGCTGTGGAGACTAGGAGGGGACCTGGGTGGGGTCTGGACCTTGACGTGGGGGCACATTGCCAGACCATGATAAGAGTCTCAGGTCTTTTGTGTTGATTTGTTTTAAGCCCCAAAGTCTCTGTACAGAGCCTATAGAAAAGTGGGTAGAATGGGAAAAGCATTGGTCAAAGACTGACTTGGCTGATAACCCTTAAGAAAAAGAAATGAAATCGTAGTATGTGAAAAATGGTGCGTTGTATGTACATAGCAGAAGGTCCTTAAGGTAAGTAAATGAAATGATTACGTGCTGTTAAGTTTGTTGTAGGTTGAAAGTGGTATTTTCTATACTGTATCATGAAACATACTTTGAATTTCAAAGTGAAAGCAAGCCAGTGACACCCGTTTGAATAGGTATCTCAGCAGAGTGACTTCAGAGTCGGAAAAACCCTTTCTGTTTCTTGAATAATGGGAGGCAATGCAAAATTACAGGTAGACTTTCATAGAGATTTTAAATTTCTATTATCAGTTTTCCGAAGATGCAGTTGTGATTTACATTTTAGTTGCTAGATTTCTAAAATAGGTGAGATAGGGCTTACAGTGATCTTCCAGTAAGATTGGGTGGGTTAGCTTTCTTAAACAGATTTCTTCTTCACAGCACTCCCGTGAGATGCAGGCTGTGGTATTCTGATATTAATAAATAAGTCAACTGACACACAGACTAAATTATTTTCTCAGGAAATGAAAACTCCGTAACTACCAGCCAGAATTTTAAGCTAGGCCTTCTGAGTCTAAATATTGTATTGGAAATACTGTCTTGTCTTATAATCGCTCAGTTTACAACATTGAGCAGTCCAAGCCTGTTGTATAGGCAATTTGTTTGAACCCATGCTTAAAATACCCTTGAGGCTTAATCTAGCATGCTGCATGTGGTTTGATTTAACCAAGAGGTCATTCGGATGAAGCTTGGGTGTAATATGATTTATGTAGTCTTTGTGTTAACTTTTCTTTCAGCTGTAACTAGCATGATGTCGAAGAGCCTTTGGAGCTATATTACGTACGGCATATGCCATACCGCAGAATTGTTCGTATCTGAAGAAGTTTTGGAAATCTTTCACACTATATTGTTTTTCAGGTTTGAGGGCACTGTTGAATTAGAGTGAATTAAGGATGGATCCAGAACTAATTGGGTATAACTGCCTGAACTGTACTTCTTTCAAAGAGTCTCTGGGCCCTCGGACTACTTTTGAAAACTAGTTTTGATAAGATTCTAAAGTCCTTGCCATCTTAGGGAAGTAAGGAGTAAAAAGTTGGGGCTGTGTGTAGTAGTGGCTGGGGAATGAATTAAAAAACTGTAGGAAGGTGCCCTTGAAAGTCCTGATGTTGAGAAGTGTTGTTAAATGGGGATTTGGAAGAGTGAGTCTTGAGACTTGATAGCATATTTTGATTGCTACCAACAAGACTGGACAGGAAAAATATTTAGAGATAGTATAATTAATATCCTAGAAAAGCATGCTTAAAAATGGTTTTAGTGGTACCCACATGTGTATAGAATCAGTTAATGATGCGTTGGGTAACAATTCTCTACAGAATTTTTTTTTTTAAGCGAAAAGGGGGAAAACTCTTTGTAAATATGCATGTCAGCTGCCTGGGCTTGTAGCTGCATGACTTGGGAGGAAAAAAACAAACCAACCATAGGTTTTTGTTTGCTCTTTCCACCTATGAAAGACAAATAGCCCTTGCTAGATAAAGTTCATTAGTCTGCCACATTTGTTTGATCACTGGTTTATTGTTTCTGGTCTTTTTGCCTCAGTTCCTCCTCTCATCAAAACAATTTTATATTTTAAAATATTCACTCCTTTGTCTTATATTTTGGAATTTGGGATTTTTCTCTCTTGATGGCAAAGAATTTTTGCCATCAGCTACATGATAGGGTGAGCAGTCCCTAGGCTAGAATTAAAGTGTTACTTTGCATTTAACTTGGATCTGAAAATAAACCTAATTTAACGTTTTGGGAGGAGGAGGTGGTGGCGCACCTATGGAATTTGGGCTAAGGAGGTTAAAGGGCCTGTATTCCCTTAAGTTCTGAAGAGGGCACTTTTGCACCCATCTTTCAGCTGGCAGATCACCTAACCCTTCTCCAGATCCATCCTTTGATCCTCCTACCTGTTCAGTCAAGTGTTGGCCTACTTGATGTCAGGTTGGTGTTTGAGCATTTATCATG